TGGCGAGAAAAAAATTAAATTAGTAGCTTTAATGCATGTTGTATGGAAATGCCTGATAAGCATATAACTGCAAAGTGACCTGCTGGGTGCATACTGAACGAAGCATAGCAGGCAGTAGAAGCCCAGGGAAAAAAATCAGCAGGCCAAGTCCTTCACAAAACCATAGAGTTCAGAGAGAAATGAGAGTATATCTTTTGGAGGAAAGTTCTCCTTGTAGACATGAAAGAGATGTGTACAAAAGAGCTCCTGTAGAGGCTCTGTGGGCTTCACAGTGCTGTGAATTATATGTTTTATCTGCGTGACTGTTACCCTGGAAAACTTCCATGCCTGCGGAGATCAGTGAAGCTCCTCTGAAGTCATCCAAGTGACGCCACTTCAGTGCTGCTGTAAGGAAACCATGATGACTGGAAAACCTCCTCAGCTTCTTTCTTCTAGGAAAAATCTGCAATGGGACCTGTCCTGATAATACTGCAGTTCTTCTTTTTATGAGTGTTTATGCTTCTCCCGTGAAGCAGGAGAGCAAGCCCAGGGCATGAGAAAGTGCACAAAAAAAGTCCCTGCTTCCTCAAGGAGGAGGCTTGGTCCTGTAGAGTGCCAAGCACTTCAGATCCTGCCAAGTTCCCAGCACCTTGGGCATGTTATCTTTGTCACCATTACCGCGACTAGAGCCACTGACACAGGTGGCCACAGAGTTCAGCTCTTTGCAGAGGCTGAGGTTTGTTGTGAGTAAAATCACTTGTAGTAGGTCTACTCATTGAAAACTCTTCCCCCACATACAGATACACAGCTTAAAGGTCTCTGTATTTCTGGTAAGAATATGATGAGCATTGTTTGCTCATTTTTTTCTGTCTAACTTCTGTTTATTTCACTCAGAATTTCATTGCTTTACATCCTTGCTAGAAATGGGGATGAAATTAAGAGGGAAAAGAAAAGTTCTTGAAACAACAGGACTGAAATAAGGAAGATGAAGATGGCACCAGGAGAATCGCTAGTTCATCAAAATATTTAACTCATTTGACTACCTCTAACTGCACACTAAGTCCTTAGGGCATTGGCTAATTTGACTTGAAGGGCACTTATCAAAGCGCTTGGTTGAAATATGTTTGTGAATGGAAGTGCAGCAGAATAAAAAGTAAATCCAATAGATGTGATAAAATACAGTGCAGTTTTCCTTTTACCAGACTAGAGAATGCATTTGTTTCTAATGACTGGTACATAACATACATTTTTCCTTTAGCTAGAAGAGCTAGTTTTAGGGATTTTTAGAAATTTCTTTGGGGGGGTGGAAAGCACAACAACAACAATTTGAGCTTGAATTCCAGTTGGTGAACTCAGATTGGTTCCACAGTCCCCAAAATAATTGGAGAGGTTGATGAAACCACAAATTCCGTGGGGCTTGTCCCTTTCTTAATACAACTTTCAGGAGCCAAAGGCATTTCTCCCATTGCTTACCACTTGATATTTATCAAATATGTTATTAGCAAATGCTTGCAGGCAAAAAACCTGGAACAGCAGCAGTGGCAAGGGACGCTGGAGTCCTGTGCTAGCATCAGCAAATCGGTGCCCACTTGACCCCATCACTGTGTTATCAGAAAGAACAAAGACCATCATCTGGGTCACATTCTGCTCATGTTTTCATTGGAATAAATGATGCCACTAACACTGAGAGAAATGTTGGCTGACAGACTGACCCGGTGGACTTCAGACAGGATTCAGGTCTCCTTGACCTGATCAGAAGAGAGGAGCTTAGCCCAGGCACGTTGCTAAGACATGTAACAGCTGATGGTCTAACCATATTGAGAAACAGAAAAATAGGCTTCCCTATTGTTTTTCACCTCGCTCTGATTTGATCAGAGACATGAAACAAAGAAAATCATGAGCGTTGGTTCTGGCCACGTTTCTGAAATGCTGCTCACACAATGTTTATCTCGGGAAAAATGATACTGCCAGTATCTTTGTACTTTATCTATGTCATTCTATCTCTTCACATACTTAAACTTATCATCACATTTTCCAGGCATTCTCATCTAATTAAGCAAAAATTCTGTCCTTTTGCTTCTTAGATCATGAAGGAAGAAGAGTAAATTAAAGATAGATATCGGATGAGTGTGGAAGCTGTATTTCTACACAAGAAGCCTAATAATAGTGCCATGATGCAGCTGAGGGAGAAGTTGGTATGGTTTTATATACACAGAAGCAAAAGGTGGTGTGTGAAGAAAGTAAACATCAGATAGTGTTCAAGCAGTGGTTTATCCAGCTCATTCGGTGTTTGTAAATATAGGAATGTGTTGTAGTGGCTAAATTTATCCTAATGTAAGGAAACATGAACAAAGAGACTGGTATTTGGGTGAGTAATTTCTATAGGCAAACTTAGGACATCCTGTGTGAATTATTTTGGGGCAGTTCATGATAACATGGTACAGATTAGAGTTGCCATTTCTGGAAAAATTAGGTCAGAATTATGCAGATAAGATGGAAAGAATTTCAGCAGCATTGTATTATTTTCCTGACTTGAAACCTGACTCACATTTTGAAGCTTTGTTTCATTGTATATCTTGTTTTTGTACATAGCCAAAACAGTCTTTTTTTTTCTTTTTTTTTTTTTTGTAGAAAAAGAAATGCCTGAGCAAGAAAGAATTACAAATAAAAACAAATACAGCAAGTTTAATTCAGGAGGGAAAGAAGTAGTTCTCCTTTCCTGCAAAACTGTTTGCAGCTTCAGCAACAATGATGGTGAACCCATGAAAAATCAGAGAAGGAAGACAGAGCTTGGTTACTGAGCAACTCCCTGTTCTTTATTGGAGCTGGAAATGCAGCCATACGCCAGGTGTATTTGGGGAACGTCAGACCATAGCCGCTGTGGAAAGTGGTGACCCTCCTCTCCCCTTCATCCTGGAGTAGAGAAACTTTTCTTACTAAAATAGAAAACAGGTGATAACCCTGCAAGGTTTACCTTTTAAGAGAAAAAAAAAAAGTAATATTAGTTCTAGCTAAATGAACGAGAGCTGTGACTTTGCAGCCTTTCCCTCTACTGTCAGCGCAATGTTTCCATTGGCTTCAGGTGCATATTTTTTTTTTGCTCAGGTCATTTATTATGAGAAAGAATGTACTTTTATACTGCTCTATATCCAGTACCATAAATCCTAGCATCTAACATGCTGCCATTTCTTTCACTGAGAGCTCTGGCCTGAGTCACTGAATCTCTTTCCACCATGGAGTGCCCTTTGAGCAGGAGCAAACCTTCAGGCCAGACCCGATACTTGTACATGAGCCATCTACAAGACAAAATATTTCACGTTCTAGTTTCCTTATTCACTGAGATAAAAAATGACTTTCTAAATTCCAGTTTATGGACCATTAATATATACTGGGGCAAGTTGCATTGCAAGTTTACGTTCATGCTGCAAAGGGTACGAACGAAAGGGCCTCTCTGCCCCTGGTGCTCGCAGGGTGATGGAGTCCCTGCAGTGCTGCGCATGGCCCTTGAGGACAGCCTGGCCCAGGGTGAAATGCTCTGTGAGTGATTAATTTTGCAAATTTTGCGGGGCTTTGGAAATGTTGGCTCCCTGAAAGACCAGTTACTGCGTAACTGCGTACTGTGTAACTGCGTACCAGTTACACAAAAAGGCATCCTGAGCAAGTTGTGGGGGCGAAGTAGGGAACGAAAGAAGGAGAAAAGGAAGGAAGGAAGGAAGGAAGGAAGGAAGG